TTAGATGTAGTAAAAATAAGTCTATTATTTTCATAGTAATGGATTTAGTTATCTGTATTATGCGTTGTATAACTCCGATCGGGTTAAACTAGATGGGGTTAGAAAGCCAAGATTTCATTTGACAGTTGGGTAATTGGTCAAACTCAGTTTTGTTTAAGCTTGCGTCAACAAGATGCAAAAACCAAACCAGGCGGTTGAAAATGTGAATAGTGTTTATGGTCCTGATATGATACAGTTAATCATGCGCAATTTTGATTTCGTCGATTCCCGATTTCGTTTTGGTAAATTCGATATCAGAGATGTTCAGCATTAATGTCAATTGTCAAAAATATCAACCGTCCTGTAAGCACTATTTCGATTGCTGAAGAGGAACCATTAGAATAAGGCTGTATACAAAAAGAAGTTCGAAGCATGGCTGCTACAGAAGTTAACACAAAAATGCTGGGAATCTCTTAAACCGAATGCTGGGAATCTCTTGAACCGAATTTTATTCTGTGAATTTTCGTCGCTGATGAATCGCAATCAAATTGAATCATTTCTGAAGCGGATGATGACTGTTGGTTAGTGCTGAGAAGTCGCGGTGGCCAAGCCAATACCGACACCAGGAAAGTTTTACTGTATGTTTAGTAGGATTGACAGGGAATCAGCTACTAGAGCTGCTTTCCTACAGCAAAACTCCACTCGGAACTGTGCAGTTAATTGTCAACAATTGGACCTATATTCTCTGTAGGAGAGGAATTGTGTTCCATCAGGACAACACCACGCCACATACATCGATATTGACTCGCCAAAAGTTCTGGAAAGTTTTTATGCATACACCTTATAGTCCAGACCTGACACCAAGTGATTATTAATTGTTTCTGTGTTTTTGTCCCTGGCGAACAATGAACGGTTTTCTAGTGAAACATTCGCTTTAAGAGATGTTTGTGAAAATCGATTATCTGAACTATTTGCCAATAGAGAAGCGAACTTCTTTGAGAGATGCATAATGAAATAACATTCAAAATGGCCACAAGTTGTCGAATAAAACGGCACCTATTTGACCTAAATTGGATCATTCTATCTATGGTAAATAAGCATTTAATTTCATGCAAAAATGATGGATTTGTTTTTATTACACCTCTTAAAATCTATGTTCTGTGTTCGAGCGACATATATAAAATTCCGATTTATAACTTTATTAAGAATATGCAATAATATTATATGTATAATAATAATTGTAATTGGTAATGATTCATTTGACATATTTCTCATACTCTACAAAAATAATTTATAAGTAAGATTTGCTTAAAATAGTTTTTTTATTTATTAGGGAAAGACTCTGCATTAGACAAATTAGAAAATTGTTCTTACTTTTATAAGAATCATCACAAAATTTTGTTTTCAAAATGCTAAGCAAACTCAAAAAATAGTTATGAATATAAATAATAAAGTCAATTACCATGCTCACAGTAAGAATATATTTTACTACCGATTTAATTATATATATCGAGTTATTTAGTACGCATTATACACTATATATTAAACAAAATAATAATAATATATAGTAAAATTCTCTAATAATGATATATAAACGAGAACGCGGCGAAGCGACCTAGAAGCACACAACTATAGTATAGTTTCGTAGTATACCTAAATATTCGCATACTGTTATGTCTTACTAGAAATTTATAATTCTCATTATCTTTGATTTCTTTTTTTTCATAAATTCTTTAAAATTTAATATTTAGTCTGAAATGGTTTAATATATGAATTACGATTAATATGTAGGTTTTAAAAGGTTTAGTAACGTCATTTGGTAAATATTATGAAATAAATATACAACTATTATTATTTTTCTCAAAAATTTTCTCTATAAACATCAACATCATCAAATTTTTACTATTTTTAGTTTTTTTTTTTCTTTTGTTTTCTTTCTTTCGGTATTAGAATAAAAATAAGTATAGTTTTGTCTTTTTAAAATTTACCACCTGATTATAATTTAATATGATATGTATTACTTCAGCTAATACTCTTTTTTGTTATACTACATTGTCATCCTACAAATTAAAGAGTTTAGCTAAGTTCATAAATTTGTCAGGTCGATTTACTTCCACTTGAATGGGGAACTGTGCATTTTGGCGCTGTTCGTCCGCTTACTTCTAGCCTGAGTATAAAGAACACTAATCCTAAAATATGACAAAGGATCATTATTATTAAGTAATAATTATACAAATAATGAGAGATGAAAATTTTGCCATTTAATGTCATTATTGTGATTATCTGAAAGATAGTGTCAACATGACTAGTTTTTTTTCTTTTTTTTTTTTTTTTAAATTACTTAGTATTTTACCACAATTAAAAATAAAATATCAATACATATAGTTTAATTGCTTATATTTATCCAATATTTAAAATAAAATGAATTTGGTATTTTTTAATGAGGTCTAGTTTCCTATGTTCCTAATAGCAAACATGGTTAGATGACGCTTGTTGATAACCGTAAATGAAGAAAACTTAAAGTCATTCTAATCGGCTTCAGTTGTAACTTATGTTGTAAGACTTAAAAAGTGTGGATAGCGGCTTTCATTAATCGAATCACTCAACAAACAGAAAATTCCCTATAATTCGAACCAATTTTTGTGATGCAATCGGATTTGATTAATTGCATTGCTCCCTTGCTCCCATTTAACAATATGAGTATGCGTTTTCATTAATGCTAGGAAAAGGAACCTAATTTGTTATCGGAAACTTTCAAATACAGTAAAATTTTAAATCTCAGAGAAAATGTTCTAAAGAAATTTAAAATGACTTGGCGGATATAATCTGGTGTAGCTAAAGAAGGAACACTAATTAGTTTTATTGTTGTTATAATTAAAGAAAATTATCTCAAAGAAAAAATCAGGGCTACCTTTTCTGAAAGATTATGGTGTTTTACTCAATTTTTTTATATACTCGTAAAGGCTTGGATAGCTAGTACTTTTTGACAATAATTAATATAATACTAGGGAAGTGCTTGTTTATAAGTGTTAGAGTATATAAGGTATGTTTACAATAATATTACAAGATATACGAAATATATAAACAAATTTAAATGTGTTTAATTTTATATATAAAGAACAAATTATGAAAGAGTTTGTATATGAAATGTATTTAGTTTGAATATATTTTTTTATTTAATTAACTATAAATGGAACATTAGGCTCAATGCTGTTTATTAACAACTCTGAAAGAAAAAATTATGGTTATAGTAACCATTGGCTACAATTGTGCTGTAGATATAAATAATTGAATCTACACGTTTGGAGGAATGTGTTATAGGACGATAGCCCTTTCTATCTTTTCCCTAATCTTTTTCATAAACTGATTGGCACCTTCCATCTGAACTATATAATGTAGATTGCATATATACACAAGAACAGTATGGAGGTGAAGAGATGACAGTTTGTAATATATAGACTTACATATAGACTTACATATTGTAACTGATCAATTATTACTAATGTTGATATTCTTACAATTTTTTTGACACCATTCGTGGAGGAGAAGATGATGCTGAAGTTATTAGTTCTTTAGAAGCATAATGCTATACCCGCAATGCTTTCGTTTTAACTAAAAAATATTAAAATATTACCATGGCCTACCCGTAGATATGATGATAACATAATTAAAAATGTGTGGAAAATATTGGACAGTCCAGTTGCAAAAAATATTACAAAAAAGTTGATGTGCCTGAAAGCAAATCTTTAAGAATAATGAAGAGTATTTTCATCGGTACTCTCTTGAATTTGTTTATCTCAATTCTATGGAGAATGAAAGTTATGTCAATGCAAAAGGAATTTATTTGACAGGATGACGGGTCTAAAATTTAACCGCTTTTTGCTTTTCACTTCAAATATATTTCGGTGTGAGAAATAATTGATATAAAGAACAAAATTGAAATTATTTTATTTTAATTTACTCATTTTAAAGAAAGGTTAACAATTCTGAAAGAGTCAAAACGTACGCATCATTCATTTATATTTTGTACAGCAAAAATAAAAAAAATATATAATTGGTTTTTTCAATTTATAGAAACACACTACATACATAAAACCTTTTAAAAGAAGATATACTTTTTTTTTGTGTTAGTATCAAATCTTTAAGGAAAAATCTTCTAAAGATACAAATCACCCTTACCATCTGCATGCCCGATTCATGCACGACTCATTGAGTCATGTACGCCTATAGACCAAAAAGTCTCCACATTTTCAGCTCAAAATCCTGGAGATCTCCGCAGTATGACCAGTTGCGGTATTCCTTAACAGTGCAGGTTAGAAGTACACTTAGCGTGCTTCCAATCTGATTACGTACTAAGTATTTCGTCCGCTTCAACAATGTTTATTGTTCTAGAGATTATGTACTTGTAAACGCTCCTCTCTTCAGTGCTTGCTAATATCTGCTTTACCATAAACGAAGGGCTGACTTTCACCATTAGTGTCTCTAGATTTAGATGTCTAGTAGCTACGAATATCTTTAATTATATAGTAAGGACTCTCAATTTTATTTAGGCAAAACTGACAGTACGGATTATCTGCCAGCCTGAACCGGTATAACTATCACGGAAGCATTCATGCTTTGTAAGAAACTGCGTTAATTGAAACTTCAAGTCTCTAGTATTTCGATTAATCGAAACTTCTATACTCGTATTTGGAATTAGCGAGTACATCCAACTGGATTTGCATCTTGTTTAAATTTATATAAATACACTACATAATGCTAAAAGAAGATATACTTTGCTTTTGTCAGTTAGTATCTGGTAAACTGTATTCAAACGCATACTTAATCTTTTATAAAAGCTTCATAATTTATATGTTGATTAGGTAGATTAAGTTGATTAAAAAAAATATTTTCATTCTAATAAAAGATGTGTAGCATTTATGCAAGCTTTTTCAAATACATATATAAGAACAGCAGTTTTTTTTTATTAATATTCGCAGTTTGCAGTTAAAGAGTAGTTTTGCTTTACTAAAACTCAGCAGTTGAGTTTCATATTTGTTCCCATACGTACCAAAAATTCAAAATGTATAGCAAACGTTCTCACGATACTCAAACAGCTTCTGAGGATAAAAATCGGAAAATGATTGAAATAGCTGCAGCTGGAGATAACATACCACTGAAGGAAAATTGGATGGAACGTTGGTGTACTGTTCCAGATGATTTTGGAAATATTTTTGAACAAATCTATGAATTTGAAGTAAGAGATAATGACGTTTTTCTTGTAACATTTCCTAAATGTGGTACTACTTGGATGCAAGAAGCAGCTTGGCTGTTAATTAATGATTTGGATTACGAAGCAGCGAAGAACAAGATATTAGCTTATCGTAGTGTTTTTTTGGAGTGAGTGTAAAATTACTTCGTTTGTAAAATAATGAAACTAACAATTTGTTTTTATGTTTTATTTAGTCTATCTGGACTTTATAATAGTATTGAAGTCAATACTGTGACATTAGCTACAGAATTGAGATCACCTCGTCTAATTAAATCACACTTACCAGCCAATTTATTGCCCCGTCAAGTTTGGGAAAAGAAGGTCAAGGTAGATAAAATTAAAATCCATTCTAGTTTAATTTATGTTTAAATGTGAATGTATAAATGAAATACAGAATTAACTTATATTATTAATATATATATAATTATGTATATAATTGACTAAATAAACATTTATCAACAGATTATATATTGTGTTCGAAATCCGTGTGATGTTGTCGTATCTCTTTGCAAGTTTCAGGAAGGCCTGGGGACATGGAATGGAAGTAGTGATGAATTTGTACACGATTTTATGAACAATCATGTCATGTACTCACCATTTTGGCCAAGTGTTTTAGATTTTTGGCAAATGCGTAATGAAGACAACATTTTCTTTACTACTTATGAGAATATGAAAAGAGATTTAACTGATGTTTTATTGAAATTATGTAAATTCTTAGATAAACCAGAACTTACAAAAACCCAGATCAGTAAATTAGTTGAGCATTTATCTTTTGATAAAATGAAAGGTGTTATCATATTAATTTTTAACTTAAATTTATTTCGATAATTTGAGCAATTTTTATTTTGTAGAAAATAAAAATACTAATCCAACTGATGTTATAAGAGCAGGATTTGGCAGTCCAAGTGTTAAATTTGATTTTGAGTAAGTATTTTTATTTGATAAATACAATATCTTTGTACTTAAATGATAACAAATTGGTTAAATATTTATAATTTTTTAATAAATTACTTATTACAATTATATTCCAATTAATTAATAAATGCATTTTTGTTTTACCTACATTGAAGGTTTATGCGGCGGGGTATTATTGGTTCTTATAAAGATGAACTTAGCCAGGATAATCAGCGGAAGATAATCAACTGGTCGGAAAGGTATTTAGATAAACACAAGCTGACAATAAAGGAATTGTTTGGGGAAATTTAAAGCATTTTGTATAATATTCTTAACATATATTATTGTTTTATTATATTTTAATTAAAAAAAAATCTTCAAAATATATGGTCTAAATGCAATGTATCATTTATTTAAAACTACATGCAATCTTTTTCTGAAAATTACTTAGGGGCTTATATGGGTTAATAATTGTTAATTAACCATTAGAAATAAAAAATAAAATACATTTGTACACTCGTATAACAATTAAAATTATATAAATTCATTTTAATGATAATAAAGTTTTCATCGAAAAAAAATATCCAAATTGTTTTTTCATCTTAACATAAAGTTGCGAATAATACCTTTTAAGAATGTGGGCCGTTTAGTTACAAAACTAATTAAATGCCAGTCCTATATGTACTTATGTTATTGTTTTATATTAAGCTAACTTGAAACTAAATGTCTTTACTTATTAATAAATTAATTAATTATTAATAATAATTAATTAATAAATATCTGTATACATAACAGAAGTACAGATGTTCGGTGGATGAAATCGGCTGCTTTGAAGTGCGGAATGTTGCCATACTTCTTATGGCAACATTGTTGCAAATTGTTTTCTTTTCAAACTGCAAGTATCTTGCAGAAAACATATCAAGTATCATTTGAAATACTTGATCGATGAGATGTCCTAATACTATTGGATATTAATTTCGTCGTCTGGCTATTGGCGCCAAAACTAAAGACGCTTACGAAGCGTTTTAGAAAATAGAAGCTCCAATCCTATAGGATGAAGATGAGAAGCTTCTAGAATATTCTGATGAATTGTAGAAGCTATAATTTGATTAGTCAAATCCAATCTTAAAAATCTTATGAACGACTATGGACATCAGAAGGAAACTTCTAAAAGTCAGTCGTTGGTAGAAGCTCAAAAAGTTCAGTCCCCATCTAACAAGTCGTTGGCAGTATCTTTCCTTAACAAGTCGTTGAAAAAAATCTAAACAGTCGTAGGAATATATTGATTATAATATATAATATATATATATAATTATAATATATATATATAATATATAAATAAAATATTTTTTTTTTAAAAACTTTAAAACAACCCGTTAATTAATTTATATTGTTAAATTGTTGCAAATTTTAATAAAATGTTATTGGGTTTGTTAATATTTTTAAAAATAGTTTTTTTAAATACAACATTTAGTTCTAATAAAAATCTGTTTCTCTTTAGATTTGTCCACACCATACACCATACTAATAATCAGTAGCGAGGCGTCAGCTTTTTGGCAAGGTGTTCACAATTTGATCAAAACAGAATTCCAACTGTAACGTATTCTCCCTATTCCTGAGTTTTGTCGTTTCCACAAGCAAATAGCATACAAGACCAACAAAACAATTTATTTAAATGTTCGCAGTCTGTGATCCACTGGTTTTTATGGTAAATAGCTGTAGGAAAACGGCGACTTACCACAGATTTCGACATTTTTACATCAGGTACCAAATTCTTCATATCTGGAATTAGTCTATTCATTTTATGAATTAAAACCATTTTCTCAGAAGATTGTTTAAAAAAAGATATTTGAATCAAATCTTTAGTCACACATTTATCCATTTCTAAATATTATTTTTCACTTCAAATTTCTTTAATTTTTTTCTTTACTTTTACCATTTGCTAGTATAAAATTGCAATAATGACTTTGTTTTTGGTTTATTTCCAACCTCTACATAAGAGTAAGAAACTCTCATGCGTTCATTTACTCTTTCACTTTGTATTTACTAAGAGCGGTTCAATTTTTTTATTGAACCATTTGTCCATATAAAACGACAACCGTGACTTTGATTGTATTTGCATGCTTTGTATGAACTTGCGGTTCAATTTGGTCGAGTGAACCTCTCGTCAAATGTAAAGCGATTTTCGCTCAGTTATTTCTTTTCTCATTTGTATTTACTTTGCATAAGATTGGGGGTTCACTTTTTTTTATTGAACCGCTTGCACGCATTAATTTAAGAGTTATGATTATTTTACGTACATATTTTGCGGGGCTTGTTTTCTCTTTTATTTTTATATTTGTTTGTATGTTTTGTGTTGTGTATTCAATATTGAATAGTGAATGTGATTTAATTTGCATGCTTTGTAACTAGCGCGGTGCAGTTTTTATTATGAACCTTAGTATATTTTATGAGGAATGTGTTTTCTCTTTTATTAATTATAAGTAATGTTGGGTGTAACTAACATATGTGTGATTTTGTTTGTGTTGTACGTTTTGTGTTTATATTAATATGTTTGGAAAAGCTATTATAAAATATGTTAAGTAGCAAAATATCGAGATTATTTACCTAATAAAAAAAGATCTAAAAAGGAAGCTTTGTTAAGGTGTTCAGTGAACACTCTCAACCATTTGACGCCTCGCCTCTGCTAATAATACAGGTAACAATTGACTAATCTAGTAATTTAGTCTTCAGAGCGTTTTTCTCTCCTCAAAATATCACTTGTATCAGATAGTGATCGTTAACAATGAGTATACTTTTTATTATTTAATAACAAAAATCATTTTTTTTTGTATATTTATTAATTAAATAAGATTTATATATTATATTTTTATTGTTTTTAAGCTTTTTATCATGGATCTACATGTGTGTATGTAAATGCTACCACGATTAGCATATAATAACCACAAAATAATATACATATTAAAAAAATTTATCTTAAAATAATTTTTATTGGGACTAGTATAAATGTTTTATATTTAAATAAATTGTTATCTTTATTATTGTTGTTGTGATCAGTGAGTAACTTAATGTACAAATAATCTAAAAGAAACTCACCACACTTGCTTTGTTGTTGTATTCCGAAGTTGTTTATTTGTTCACACTTTCGCTTTTATTTAAAACTTTGAAAGCTTCGTTCAGTAGCTTTTCGAACGTCGATAGAGTTATGCGCTGTTTGGTTCTATCTCTGCGCTACTCAAAGAAAAAAATTGGTTTTTCTCTTATTTTTTCATTTTTAATAGTCACCACTTTTTACAATATAAATAAAAGCGCGGTGTATTTGAAGAAGTTCAATTCGAAATACTCGAAAAATTCTTCGAAATATCGAGATTGGCACAATTATGAAAAAATTGCCGCGGATAAATCACGCGTTGGGCTGGGCGAACAAGGTGAGGCAGCTGTTCTGAGTTTGAATCATGACGTAGCTGTTGTGAAACGTTGGATTAATGAAACCGGTTTCAATGCAGTGCTATCAGATGAGATCTCTTTGGAACGATCACTGTCAGATGTGAGGCACGCGACGTAAGTATTTAGTTGGGTAAACAATATCGGTAAAAAAAATACGTTAGACTTTAGTTCCTTATAATTTAGCTGTGATTGTTTTTATAATTTATTGACAAGTATATATATATGTATATAACTCTATATACATTAATATAATATTGTAGTACAAGTTTTTTAAATTAATTATTTGATAAATCAGTAAATAGTCGTATGTATAAAGTTTATATTATAACAAACCCATCACCAACATTTTTTATTCTATTATGTACAGACTCCTATATGATTTTGTCGTGCTGATGTTGTCTTGTTTGTAAAAAATTGTTTAGTATATTAAAATATTTTATAATAAAATGTTATTATAATATAAAATACAATTAATTATTTTATTCATATGCATTTTTTTATTATAGTTGCCGGATGAAAAACTACTTAAGTGATCTACCCACAGTCAGTATCATAATTATTTATCACAATGAACATCGTTCAGTTTTACTGCGTACTATCCACAGTCTTTTTGCCCGTACACCACCTGAACTACTAGAAGAGATAATATTGGTAGATGATTTTAGTACCTCCATGTACAATAAAAACTTGGACAAACATCTAAAACAAAATTTTGATTCAAAACTAAAAGTATTACATGCACGTATATATTTGGGGCACGTCAAGCAAGTGGAGAAGTGCTAGTATTTTTAGATGCTCACATAGAAGCTACACATAATTGGCTACCACCTTTACTAGAGCCTATTGTACTTAATCATAAAACATGCACAACTCCTATCATAGATACAATTAAATATGATACATTTGCATATGTACCAGGCACTGCCTCTAGAGGAGGATTTAATTGGCAGTTTAATTATGTGCAGTTACCTTTGCTACCGGCGGAAGAATTGAAACTGCCAGAACCACATAATAATCCAGTAATGAATGGAGGACTATTTGCTATAGCTGCTGAATTTTTTTGGTACTTAGGTGCTTATGATGAGAATCTATTAATTTGGGGTGCAGAACAATTTGAACTAAGCTTTAAAATTTGGTTATGTGGTGGTAGCATATTAGAAGTACCTTGTTCGCATCTTGGTCATCTCTACAGGGATCCAGAGTATCGAGTCAATTATATTAATACAACTGAAGACTTTATTAGTAAGGTAAGTTAAAAGAAAACGTTATCTATTTCAATTTATTTTTTCACCGTTTTTGTGACTTTAGAACTATAAAAGAGTTGCTGAGGTTTGGTTGGATGAGTATAAGGATTTTCTCTATGAACATGTACCGAAGTTAAATCAAATTTCTGTTAGTGATGTGAGTGCAAGGAAAGCTTTACGCGCACGTTTGAATTGTAAAAGTTTTAAATGGTTTCTTCAAACTATAGCACCTGATTTACTACAAGCTTATCCACCTATAGAGCCGATTGATTTTGCAAAAGGTGCCTTACAGAGTGTAGCTGCACCAGAACTGTGTTTAGATACTCTGGGAAGAGTTGAACGTAACGAAGTGGGCAACTTAACTTTATGTTCACCAGATTTAAAATATCTTTACGCGAGTCAACGTTGGCATTTAAGTTTTCGACGTGAGTTACGTCAACATGATGCTTGCTTGGAAGTGCAAACTTGGTCGAAAAATTCGCCTCTCTGGTTATGGCCTTGTCACAATCAAGGTGTTAATCAATTTTGGTATTACGATCGTCAAACACAGATGTTGGTGCAAGGCACTGGAGAAACAGAACGACGTTGTTTGGAAGCAAATCTGCTTGAGAAGCGTGCTTATGTTAATGTTTGTGATTTTGGAAATAAAAACATGAAATGGAATTTTGGTTATATCAACCAAACGGCAATGAATAATTTTTTTAACATAATAACATGAAGTAAGTTAAAATTTTAAACTGTTTCTACAATTTTTGTAAAGATTTCTTTATTTTATTTCTACAGGATTTTCAATTATTGGTAATTGTGCTGGTAGTCGTTTTTGACCAAATACTCTCATATTATATATGAAATATTCAAGTGTATATAAGTCATCTCGATGTACATTACTAAATGATATCATCTTTTTTGAGAGCGGAAATGATTTCTGAAAAAGTGGAGAACAATTTTAAATTTTGCTAACTTTATACAAGATCTGCAACTTACATTTCTCATAGCGTAAAATGAATTTTCGTAAAGGAATTTATGATCCTCTGGCTTTAGTCCTTTCAAATAATCGCTTAATGAGAAAGGAAAGAACGTATTGCTACCATCTTCTGCACGACTGTCGCCTGCAAGCACTCCTACATTTTTTAAACATCTGGCTAATTCCTCACTTTCTTTACCATTTGCTCCTGGAGTACAAATTTCAGTGTTTGGTAAGGCTGATTTAACAAATCTTCGCAAAGCTTCTTTGCTCAGTACGTATCCAGCACTGCTGCTCATATAGGCTTCTCCATCTTTATTTTTCAGTTTATAGCCAAAATATATTGGTGTTTTGTTGGAGTACGGGTAGAGCAAATAACGCAGATTTTCAAGAATAACAAAACTAAAATAAAAAGCAAATAATTAATAAATTATTAAGCGAAAACATAATATTATTTTTATTTAATTAATATTTTATAAATTAAGAGCATTTGTATAAACACATATTCTTTGTATACTTCATAGTTGTTTAAACTTTTCGTGAACATCTGTTGTGTTTGCTTCCAGACTCATCTAAATCGAGGCTTGAGATTTTTGGCGCCCCATATCTTAAACCACTCAATCATATTTTTGTTATTAAAATTGGTCAGATACTTTCATTTATAAGTGAGCTGAGCTGGTTTTAATATGCAAAAATTTAACTTATTCACATATAAAAAAATAACTCAAAACGCTAATTTTTTCATTAGCAAATACATTTGCTGATCAACTTCGAAGGAAAACAGCTTTCTCAGCTAATTGAATAGAAATTGATCTTCCTTTCTCTCTTTACTTTTACTAAATCATATTTTACTGTTAATATCAATTTTTAAAATAACCATTTAATATCTATGTTATAAACTACAGATTATCTTTTAAAACTGTTTCAATTTGTTATTTACACCTAAGTATTATGAAACCCTATCTAATAATAATTTAATTATAATTCCATTGATATGCCTACTTATCATCAGCGGCTCTTAGAAACCAATCAGCATTATGGTAGTGATAATTGTAGACAAAAGTGAGGCTTTCCTTAAGTTTACCCCATTCTTCGTTCTTGCTAATGATAACTGGTTGTATTTCATCATGGAAGTCGTCACTCATAAACAAAGTCTTATCACAACGTTGAGTCCATGTGCGATAAATACGTGCCGCTTCTAAATTGTGACGATAGCCTGTTGTCATGATCATGCAGAGGATACGTACTCTCTGATTCAATTTGTGAATAGCTGGTGTTCTTCGGGCATTTTTATATTTACTATGTGTTAACTTCAAACTTATACAAAAAATACCGATTAACACAAAAATTATAGTATAGCGCAAAATTAAACCAAAGTAACGATAGAATTTTATGCCTAATTTTAATTTAATATTTTTTCTAATATATTTCACATTATAGTGATTAATAATCATTTCTGCACGAATGAACAGTAATATCAACACTAATAATATTAACAATCTTTTCAGATTTGTTTGCTAAAAAATCGTATATGATAGACAACTTCTAATTAATTTAAGAGTCTTTTTTTGTCAAATATTTGTCTCCTTGGACTTATGTAAATTTTTTTCAAGTAACGAATGTTTTCCATTACTAAAATTAATTTGCAAGGGAATAGTGAGTAATTTTTCAAATCTTTTAACATTGATAATATGCTAAGAATACAGAATAACTGTTGATATGCTTTGTATAACTGTTTCATTGTATGATGAATACGTCGATGGAAACTATATTTTGCTGAGAAAACTGATAACCGTCTGATGACACGTAAGAAAATAAGAAATGTCTAGTTGAACGATCTTAGATCGTACTGAAAACCTTGTGATTATAATCATGACCTTGTTAAGAATGATCATGATCACTTGTATACCATAAAGGTAAACAATGTCGACTATTTATTAAGGAAAGCCAAAAAGCTTACCATAAAGGTAAACAATGTGGAATATTTATTAAGGAAAGCCAAAAGCTTATAATAATTACATATGAAGTCTGTAGAGGATTGATGATAGATTTCATATTTATGTATAATGAGAAAATTAACACACTAAAGTCATTTCGTGACTTTTATTTGCATGGTGACCAAAGAATTGTACATGAAAGTCGTATCAGGCTTGTCAATAGTCGTATTTTCTTGCGTTATTCAAAGGAGATTCAAAGGAATATTAATTTATTTGATTAATATTATTAATTAATGAGATTAATTTCGTTGGTGTTCACAAATTCAAACCAGTTGTCAGTGATGCTGCATAAAAAATATCACTATATGGTATATATAATGTATCTTTTCAATAGCATGTGCTGAGTTCTAGTCTCCATTTTAGTAGTATTATAAGGCATTCATATTCGATTTGGAAAGAATATTTAAATTACAATAACAACGCAAAAGACCATTTCCAGAAAATCAGCTAATCTATCTGTCATATATAAAACAAAACTGCTTTGCTAGATACATTTTGCTAAGATCATAACTTGAAAGTTGAACGAACAGAAAAGTTGCAATAAAGTGCATAGTAATTATAGTCTTATTATCAGAACAAAGTAGTTTTTTATTTAAATACAAGTAATTTAAATTTAATAATATATCAACGGATCTAATTTAATTCAGTTTAAATGGTAATTTTATTTCAATACAATTAAAAATTTAATACAAAGTTCACTGAAAACAACTAAGCAGTTAGTAAAGAATTATTAATTGATTATTTTTTTAATTATGTTAACACGAATGTAACGTTAACATTTTCTATTCATGTAAATTCGAAATAATGTTAATGTAGTTGTGACAAAAACATAGAAATATAAAGACATGTAATTTGCCTCTGTTAAAAAAATCATGAATTCTGAAAAGGTACACGCAATGGGGTAAACATGTCTGTTCAATCGTGTAAACAATCGAACTTATTATTTTATGTATGAGCACTAATATTTTGTTAGTGTAATCACCAATCAAACCAATATCGTACACAACATATTTGGCTTAGGCAAAATCATATAGAAAAAACACCTGAGCCTAGAGCAACGATGCTGAGAAGACCAAGCCGGAATTGGAACACGAAATTTTTCTAAGTTTATTAATTTGTCAAAATTAGCCAAATTTAAGCTTTTTCACCAAGTAAGAAATATGATTTAGATAGTAAATTCAATAGTCTTTTATTTGGTATATACCTCATAACTGTATGTTGCGTAGTAGCTGAGATATTCAAAAAATAAAAAAATAAAATTTTTTGAAAAAATTGACTTTTTTACTTAAAAAATTATTAAAAAACAACCAAAGACTGCAGAGACATGCACGAATATTCATCTGAAAGACAAAAAACAAGCTTTTAATTAAAGTAAAAATCGTACGCACAGTTTTTGTGAAAAATCGCATTAAATCTCGATATCGAAACTGCGCAAATATCATCCAAATCAAAAAACTAAAAATGAGAAATGTTTAAAAATATATTACAAAACATAACTTTAAAACCTCAATAACATTTTTCAATTTATTAATAAAAAATTTATAAAAAATGGCATTTTTTGTTAGCTCACTTTACTGTAATCGTTATATCCTCGTGTGCAAAAACGGCAGAGAAGTAGCATTAATTTTTCTTTAAAGACAAGAAAGTTTCCATTTCATAAAGTCTAAAACCATAAAAATCGTACATATAGTTTTTTCACAATTATTTTTTAAAAATTGTACATATCTTACCAAAAATGCAATTATTTGAAAAATAACCTCCACCCTCATAGCGCCATATGCGGAGCAAACTCAAGGCTATGGCTGTTTTACCATAAGTTTATACAAATTAAATTGTATGTTTTTTAGTGTGTTTTTTATTGATTGCTGATTAACTATTTTATTTTTACCTCCCGTCTACTTGAAGTTGGTTGCTTATCCATACAAAAAAAGATCATTTTTGGTTCTACTTTGCCGATAGATGGCAAAGTGAACGCCACAAGGCAGGCGAGCCAGCGCCATCTAAATTTTAAGTATAAATATAATGTTCGTATTTTTTTGCGGAAGTACTGCGAATAAATGAATTAATAAAAATTTTGAATAGAAAAAGCGACTTTCGTATCTAAAAATTTTAATTTAAGAAAAACTATAACAAAAAGACAATAAAACACGCTTTCAATTGCAACAGAAATCAAAAAGATCGATTTTGTCTTCACCCCAGAAAATGTAATCAAAAATGAAAAATATTATTTCTTTCAAAACAAAAAAATATCCGTAGACTTTTTCTACTATGTGTATATAACAGGGAAAAATTAAACATTGTAGGCAATTAACCATTTAATAAATATTCAATAAAAAATTATTGCACATACAAAACCAAATATACATCCAGCATAAGACTTTGTCCAAAAATTTTATTCTTAAACTACATATTTTTACTAATTTTTGTTATTATAATTTCTAAATCGTATTTAGCAATAAAAATAATTCTTATAACATAAATGTAGGCATAACCTCATTACAGATAAAATTATATTATTTGCATACACATTGTACACACATACATATACTGCTTACAAATTTGCATATATTTATTTGATGCACAAAAACAACGATCGTTCCAAATTTGCTTTAAAAAACTTACGTGCAAGGCATAGTGAAATGTTCAATCAATCAAACAAAAAAAAACAACAAAATGTATACACATTCTGACACACATGCATATCAGCGCTTAAAACAAAAAAAAAAATCATGCATAATAGACACCTTCCTAAATTTCATAAAAAAAAACTACAATCCAAAACAAAAAAAAACATACAAGCAAAACAAACAAATATCATAGAGCAAAAGCATAGAAAAGTACACACGCAACCTAACAAATGAAACAAGTATACACATTTCTAAATACATATTTTCGATCACTGCACAAGACAGAAATACAAAAAAAAATAGCAATATTAAATTCACAACTTCATGAAACAAGCAACAATGCAACATATTCAGATTTCGATTTGCGTACAAAAGAAAAAATTTTTCTGCCTCTTGATCTGCTTTGAAGTTCTAATGGAACAGTTCTACACACCAAATGTAAAAACCAAAAACAAGCAACCCAAAAAGAGACTATGAATGAAGGCGCAAACAAACTGCGGGCCACTTACAACCCAAAATCCAACCATAGTTTCGATTCGTTTATCATCTTTCAGAAGTTTCGATGCTTCTTCTTATCTAGATTATTTTTGCAAATTACGCGTAATTCATAGTTGAGTTTTCAATTAAAATTATACCTGTAATTTAGAAACTCAACTACAAATTACAATTATACTGCAATTCGTAATTGAGGTTTTCAATTAAATTACACATATAATCTGGAAATTCAATTATCAATTATAATTATTCTGTAATTGTAATTTAATTTGTAATTTAATTGATTTTGCACAGCTCTGCCTGTGCATTAAACTCCTCAAGATTTTTGCGAAGCTGTGCACCAGTAAATGACATCATCACAAAAACAAAAAAGTGTATGCGAAAGTGTTGTGCGCCGCTGATAGTCATTTAAGGGTGGGTTTGTGTGTTCATATTTGGTTGTGCAAGATCGAATAACAAAATTATCCAAATATTTATTTCACCCACTGTCCGTGCTTTCGAAATAATATATAATTCATTATATTTAAATATATTAAACTAAATTATTTAGTTATATTAAAATGTAATAATTAATAAATAGTATAAATTTCAAATAAGCTTACTATTCTTATAAATTGTAAATATATTGCACTAAATTAAATATTAAATATGTATTCAAAATATTTAAAGTAATATTAAAAAAAAACAATGCAAACACCTTTAAATAAGTAAAATATAAAATTGATATATGTATGTACATATGTATATACATATATCCCTAATATACGTACATACGTATGGATTGTAAGTTAAGTCCAGCGCTTAACATCATTTTTAATTTTTTGTTTATTTTTGGAAAAAATATTTTTTTTTCTCACCCGTCTGTCCGGCGCCTATCGCAAATTTTGTATGCAATAATTATGTATTGTTATATGTGGCATATACTTACATACATACATATGTATACTAAATACAAGCATTGCATTTGCCTTCTTTAAACGTCCATTTAGTTTGCCTTAACTTTTTGTAACGTGAGGTTTCGTACGCGAAGTTTTATTTTTTTGTGATTAATATTTTTAATAAAAATTTGGATAATGGCAATAAATAGTAATAATAATAAATAACATTAAAAGTCTATTTGACTTTTAATTACTGTTTGATCATATGTAAAATAATTTTATTATTAATAATTATTGTAATGATGAATATTAGTAAAATAATCCAATATAATATGTGGTGTTTATTTAAATCGTTATTATATTCTAACATACAGTGACGAACAAAATTATTGGCACAGCAAGCAAATTGAACTTTA